ATGGGAGAAAAGGTTGGCAGAGGCTCAGTACAAGGAGAAAGAGGTCTCTATTGAGAAGGAATATTTACAATATTCTTTAAATGCAGCCTTTCTTCTCTATAGAAACTTGGAGATGGATGCGTCGGAGATAGCCAATGAGGTTGTGTCTTCTTCCAACGTCTACTTCGAGCATGAAAATGAGCAGGTTTTATTCCTCTATCCCAATTTGGATTCAAGTCTCCTTTGCTTCCTCAAATTCGTTCAAGATGGTGTGTTGGTGGATGAGGAGACATTGGCCTCCTAATAGAATCCCATTCCCATATAGGAAACTCATGGCCAAGAATATAAAATGGGAGACGAGTCTGAAGTCCCTCAGCCCAGGAATACTTTTAGGAGGTGGTAACCTATGAGGAAGATTAATGACTTGGTTTACATTTTGATGCCTAGTGGCCCTTGTATTCGTGTTCCATTTGTGGGGTTTTTTGTTTGTATTTTTGTGCCCCATTCAAGAGCTTTTGAAATCATTGTGAATAGCGGCGTCCCTTCGGGGCGCCTTTTATATTAACTTATATTATATCACTATCTTCTTGTTTTTAACCTTTGTATAAGGCATTTTTTTTACCGTGACCTCCCTGATAGGATGCAAGGATACCCTTTTTAAGGATCTAGCAAATGATCATCTCATGGCGGTCAGGATCCCCTTAAGGATCCAGCGATTGATTTCCTAATGGGGCAGCAAGGATCCCACTTAAGGATCCAGTGATTGATTGCCTCATTGAACGACAAGAATCTCACTTAAGGATCAATTAATTGATCGCCTCATGGGGAAACAAAGATCATACTTAAGGATCCAAAAATTGATCGCCTCATAGGGAGGAAAGGATCCCACTAAATGTTCCATTGATTAATTGCTTCATTGGGTGGAAAGAGTCCCACTTAAATATAAAAAACTTGATCGCCTCATTGGGTGGAAATGATCTCACTTTAGGATCCAACAATTGATAATCTCATTGGGCGGCAAGGAACCTAGTTTAGGATCCAGCAATTAATTGCCTCACGCAGAAGCAAGGATCCCACTTAAGGATCTAATAATTGATCGCCTCATATGGAAGAAAGGATCCCACTTAAGGATCTAGTGACTAATCGCCTCACTAGGTGGCAAGGACCCCACTTAAGGATCCATCAATTGATCGCCTCATAGGATGGCAAAGATACCACTTAAGGATCTATCGTTTGATCGCATCACTGGGAAACAAGGATCCACTTAAGGATCAACAATTGATTGCCTCATTGGGTGTCAAGGATCTCACTTAAAGATCCAATGATTAATTGCCTTGTGGGAGACAAGGATCCCAATAAAGGATCCAACAATTTGATCGCTTTATTGGCGATAGGCTTCTCATGCATTCTTTAGTTTCTTGAAAGGAAATGGGTAGCCAAACATACTCACTTTAACATAATGAAAAATGAGGTGCCTCATTAAAAACTCTTTCTTCTTGTAAGAGCGCCCAAAGGGAAAATAGTGCACCCCATAAAACAATTTGTTCGTTACAACCGGAAGAGACGCAATACTCGCCAATAAAAATGAAACAATTAAACTACATTAAAGAAAAATAAATAACAGCTATGCTAACGTCTTCAGGGGGTTTATCACTCAAATCTTTAGTTTTAGTCCCCTCAGAGGTAGGGGAGGAGGTTTCTTTGAATTTCTTGAATTCCTCAAGGGGGATTTATCCCTGAGATCATCCTTTGAGCCTCTCCGGCTTTAGTTAGGATTTTGTTAAACCAGAGGCTTTCTTCATAACATTTCCTCGAGATCTCCTGATCTCCTTAGATAACCCCAACTTTGCCACTACCGAGCGGGTACTTCATGCTCAAATACAAAATAGACAAAGTGACACCTAGCCAATTAAATTTTGATCTTCCTATAATCATATTACATGAGAATGGGGAATCGATAACCAAATACCTGACCTTTATTTCTTTAGCTTGATCTTCTTCTCCAAAGGAGATCCTCAAGATGATATATCCTTTTCTATGTACATCTTCTTCCGAGAATCCAACCAGTGATCTTCTGAAGGGCTTCGGGTCTTCTGGATTGAGGAAAATTTTTTCAAACACCTCCCAACATAATATGTCTATAGATCCCCCTAGTCGACTTGTCCTATTTTAATCTCCAAGTCTCTACATTTGATGACAATGACCATCAGATCATCATTCTAAGGGTGGATGCCAGGTGCATATTGCTTTGAGAAGGTGATCATGGCCTTCTATACTTGGAGCTCACCCTTAATCTTGGCTTCAGGAAAAATTTCTACGCTCATAATCTAGCCAGTGTACCTTTTTCTGGCAGAGCTAGTTTGCCCGCCTCCAAAAATCCCTCCTTTTATAGTGTTAAGTGTGTGACGTATGACTTTGTTCTCCTCGCCTTGCTGCGACTATTTGATTTTGTTGGGCCTGGGACTCCCAAGATTTCCTCATCCACGAGAGCCATATTACTCTGACGAATGGGGAATAGAGGGGGTCTCCCTTTATATATTTCTTAAGTTACCCTTCATGTGTCAGTTTCTCGATTTCTTTACTGAGCTCATAGCAGTCCATAGTGTGATGCCCTTTTACCTTGCGATGCCCCTTTACCTTATTTAACTTACATCATCTTCCAGGTTCAGTACTCATCACTTCCGCCTTGGGAGCATGCAGTTTAGGTATGTTGTGCAAGTGATGTACCTCACACCATATTTGCTCACGACGATTTTTCAAAGGGTGAGTTCTATGTTTCCTTACCTATCCTTTTGAACTCTGACTTGTCCTTTATGGGCTAAGTATAGTTTTTATTCCTCTAATGATTCAACCTTTCGACGTTGGAAACACGTTTCTAAACATCGCGTGCCTTTTCTTGAAATTGCTTTCCTCACCCTTTATGTAGTACTAAACTCTGGCGACCATTTCTGCTAACAAAATAGTTGGATTTTGGGTAAGGGATTCGTTGAAGTGTCTCGTTTAAAGATCATTTTGGAACGCCCCTATAATTATTTATTGGTTTGGTGGGACGACCTTGATGGTGGCCTCATTAAAGTAGATAAATAGTCCCGCAACAATTCTCACTGACCCTGGCTATGGCGGTGTAATTCATCCATGGCAGCATGCATCTTCGCCAAGACGTCGACATCCCCGCTACCATTGGTGCCTTCTGTCGTGGGTTATGAAGCTCTCCTATTGACCATATTTAAAGGTTGCTAAATATATGAGTGAAGGGTAACAACGAGAAGGGAAATTGTGACAAGAGAAGGTATCATATGAGATAGTCTTACAAGGCCCAATGGTGGGTGCCACTAGAATGGTAAAAAAGTACATGTGTGCATGTCCCCCTACAAGAGTAGGTAGACTTAGAGGTCTTGCTCGTGGTGGCGAGAAGCTATGTATGGGGGTGTTTTGAGGTGACTTATGGGACCTTCTCACGTGAGGTAAGAGGCCCTGCATATGACTGGTAATTCTTGGTGGCAAACTTATACTCAATGGTGGTCGTGTGTTAAGATAGTATTGAGCATTGTGCTTTTAGAGTGTTAAGACTGTGAATTACTAGGGGTCCTCTGATCCTATTATGAGAGGTGTATTTTTGGATTTAAGATTGGCCTCTTAAGATACAATGGGTCCTCTTGATCCTATTATTAGAGGTCCTCATATCAAATTAAGATTGGCCTTTTAAGATAGAATACCATATGATATGGTAGGATTTAAGCTTCATTAAATTAAAGATGATTTAAAAAAGATTGACACACTTTGATATCAATAATGACATCAAATAATTATGAAGAACATAAGTTACTTTTATATAAAATTTATCATTTTCTTATATTATGCTTCTTTGAGTTTACTCCTTTTCTTTTTGATAATGTCAAAATGGAGAATAAACAGGTGATTGTTTTTGTTAGTTTTTAAATGTACCAAAAATTAAGCATAACTTGCAAATGAAAAGGGGGGAGATATCCAATATAGGGGAGATAAAATTGATTTTTATAAATTATATGGCATTTTGAAACCCTCACAATCTTACTATTTTTTTAAACAACACACCGGTTCGTAAAACTGTTGTAGTTTGAAACCGTAGTAATTTTACTATTTTCTCAAACAACACACTGGTTCGTAACTTTTGCATAATTTGAAATCGCCACAACTTTACTGTTTTTTTAAAGCATACTATTTTGAAAAATATGAACATTGTGATTCCAAATCATTTCCGATGATTATGAAACTTTTTCAAAACATTGCATCAAATCAAAGAGGCATAATGAAATGTATTTAAGTCAAAATACATCAGTTTTTCAATTACCTCTTTCATACATGATTTTGTATATAATTCAAACAAGTTCTTTTAAGTGTTCATATACTCATTACAAAGAAACTTTGTGCATAACTTTTATATAATTGAAAAAGAATTTTATTCAATTATTTTGAGAACTTATATATATATATATATATATATATATATATATATATATATATATATATATATATATATATATATATATATATATATATATATATATATATATATATATATATATATGTTTGGATTGTGAACAAGAGCAAGAGAATATCAAATTGATTATCTTAGAATTCAATGCAAGTCAAGTATTAATTAATTGTGTTCTTTATATTTTTGCTTTTATATATCTGCGCTTTACCTTAAATTCATCGAAATAATTCCAAATAAATAATAACATAAGAACCATCGTTTAAAAACGAGAAAAAGCTTTAAAACCTAAATCACGCCTGTGCACTTTATAGTGTCAGCTTACAATATGGTTTTATAACATTGAATTAACTAAGTCCAATCTTACCTGAAGCAGTAACCGTTACAATCTTTAACACCTAATTTCACAACTTCAATCTCAACAACTAATAGCTACGTATTTACTATTTTTCACACACTTAAGTTGAAGTACACCAATTTGATGCCACATAGCTTGAGACTGCAACATCAATGACATTAATAGTGCTACAATTTTAAAGTTACGAAATTAACCATGTGAAGTGGCAAGATTGTTTATCAAAGCCAAAGCATTGCTAGTCAATTGAGCTACTTGAACAATTTTGCCTCTCACTATTCTCTGAATATTTCCCTTAGCATTAATCTCTTCTAAGCCGTCGGTACAAGTGCACTCATCAGTCAAAGCAGCACTAACCCAAGTTTGTACATCGCTTATAATTACCTCAAAATTTGAAGTCCTAAGACGACTCATCTCACCAATAGACCTTCGGAGTTCGTCAAGAGAGTCACTCAACACTTCGACGCAATCCTTCATGGCTGCAGCCTCTCTTGGCTTCAAACCCCGGCTTCTAGAGAAAGTTGACATGAAAGCTGAGGTTGATTTCGCCGATGCAAGAGTCACGTTTAGGGCCGTGTCTGTTAGAAGTACGCGATTTGTTTGAATGAAATCAGCATGCTTCACCAAGGATGCATAGCATAGTCTTGGATAAGTTGTGGAACTGCAAGAATTTCTAATGAATAAGGTGTTGCTTTCTCTTGCTTGTATAGAGTGTATGATGAAACTAAATGCAAAAATAATGAGAAGGGACTTTGAAGAAAATACTTCCATTTTTTTTTTATCACAATTAGGACTTGGGTGGATGAGAAAGAATGGAAAGGATGATCACTTATATATAGTCCTGATTTTATGGTAGGATCTCAGAACATGATCCAAACTAAAAAAGGATGTGAGTTATAGACATACTATATGCATAATAATTAAGAGTAGCATTTATGTTAGTAGGACCTCAAAGCCAAAATCAAAGAAACACATCTTGTCCAACTTGAGCATGATTCTGTTTTTTGAAGTAGTGTTTGCCATCACGTTTGTGATTCGAAGTCCCCACATAGTGGTAGATATTGATCCATATCCATAAACTTGTAAATTTCAAATTTGGCATAAATTGACACCCTAGAATAGACAGCCGAGATTGTATAAATTAAAATTGAGTTTATCTTCTTCTTTTTTTTCTTTCAAGAAAATTGAGTTTATCTAATCATATAAATAGTTGGAAAAGTACTTAGACTTAATTAGAATTTTAGAATTTTAATCCTTCTAAGTTATTTGATTTATATAATTAATTTCTCTATTATAAATTCACTCGGTTTTAATGTGTGTAGGACCATGTCTTAAATACACACCTAGTTTCTATTCGACCACTTCCAACGAGTCAACAAACTCTCCAAAATCAAGAACGATTTGGCAGTTAGAAGGAAGAATTTATCCGCTAAGTTTTAGAAAAATATTAACATGAAGGAAATCATCATCCGTCAAAAATCGAGAATTTCTTAGTTGAAAGAAGGAGATTTGAACACAAAATTTTTTCATTGAAAGTTGAAGGAGAGATTAAGGTGCAATTCTATTGTTTTGATTCCATTGGAGGGGGAGGAAGAATTTAGGATGTAAAAGGTGTCAAGGATGAAGTGAAAAGTCGTTCCAAGACAGATTTTCTGAACATCATTTTCGCAGGCCTGTCATGGACGCTACTCTTTTCTTAAAATTATTTGTTAAAGACAATTTGAAACTCGAAGAACCTTTTTCTTTATAAGAGATTAAGGTTGCAATTTGGAATTGTGAAGGTTCAAAAAGTCCGGGTCTAAATGGCTTAAATTTTGAATTTATTCATAAGTTTTGGAGTTTGTTGGAAGAAGATTTAGTAAATTTATGAATGAATTTCACTTAAATGCCTAAGTCACCGAAAGTTATTACATCTTCTTTCATCGCACTTGTTTCAAAGGTTCTACGTTGTATTCAATAGGGAGATTATATCCCCATTTGTTTTGTGGAGTTGCCTGTACAAAATCTTATCTAAAGTTCTTGCTGACAAATTAAAAAGGGTACTCTCCAAAATCGTTTCTCATTCTCAAACAACATTTGTTCCAGGAAGATAGTTGTTGGATGGAGTTCTTGTTCTTAATGAAATTCTTGATTATGCAAAGAAGTTTAGGAAATGTTGTTTGTTGATTTCGAACTAGCTTACGACTGTGTCAATTGGGACTTTTTCAGGTTTGTTCTTAGAAGCATAGATTGTGGGGAAAATTGGATGAAGTGGATGGAAGCTAGTTGTTTAGTAGTAGTTTATCTATTCTGGTCAATGGAAGTCCAAAGGATGATTTTTCAGATGAACATGGTTTACGACAAGGCGACCTAATTTCACATTTTCTTTTTGTTCTTGCTGCTGAAGGTTTTGCTTGTCTCATCAACAAGGCTACAAGCCTAGGTAAGTTTGTTGACTTCAGTATTAGAAACTCGAGGAACAAAGAATTTTGCAGTTTTCTAACGACACTATCATCCTTGGGAAAACTTATTGGGAGAATGTTTAGAGCATTAAGATGGTATTTAAGGGATTCAAAATGGTGTTTGGGATCAAAGTTAATTGCTTCAAAAAAAAAATTGTACATGAGTTCATGTTATGGAAGTGTTTTTGATGGTTGCCTCTCTATTTCTATCTTATAACATTAATGCAATTCCATTAAAATTCATGGGTGTTCCCATTGGTTGTAATCAAAGAAGATGTGTTATGTAGAAACCATTAATCAACACTTTTAAGAGGAAGTTTGGAAGTATTTCGATTGGGGGTTGGGTTATACTTTTGAATTCGGTGTTATCAAGTCTTCTGGTATTTCTCATGTCTTTCTACAAAGAGCCTAAAAAGGTTATCAATGAGATTACTCTTCTGCGAAGAAAATTTTTGTGGAATGACAATGAAGAAAAGAAGGGAATTCATTGGATAAAATTGAGTAAAGTTTGCAAACCAAAAGATGAAGGTGGATTGGGAGTCAGAAAATTTGAGTTGTTTAATAAATCTCTGTTACTCATGTTTTGAAGGGGGAAGCTCCTAGAGGTTCTAACAACTCCTCAAATTGGTGGAAAGATATCAATTTGTTGGGCAGGAGTTCCTAGTTGTGTAATAATTGGTTCGCGAATAATATTTTGGTAAGGATTGTGAATGATTTGTCGGTTATATTTTGGCATACGTTGGATAGGGAATGATTCGTTAAGGGAATCATTTCCTTTACTATTCCAAGTTTGCAATAAAAAAGATGTGTCATTTGTGGACCCGGGTTTTTGGTTAGATGGTAAGTGGTAGTGGCGTGCTCTGGCTGTTAAACTAGAGGATCATGCTGAACTTGTGTCTCAAAATTCTGAGCTGTTTGAAATTCTTTATGACATATCCCCATCCATTGGAACTAAAGATGCTTTTAGGTGGAGAAATAACATAGATAGTTGTTTCTAGGTTAAGAGTTGTTATACCAAGCTTAATGTTGTGGCTGAGGAGGAGATGTACGAAGTTGAAATGTTAACGGCATTGAAACAGGTTTGGTTCTCTTGTGTCCGTTCTAAAATTAAGATTTTTTACTGGAGAGTTTTGTTGGATAGGATTCTAACTAGAGAACAACTTGCAAGGAGAAGAGTTATTAATTCTAGTCATGATTTAGTTTGTGCTTCTTGCTTTGCTGAAATCGAATCCACCTTTCACTTGTTTATCGAATGTAGAATTAGTAAGAAGGTGTGAGAGAAAGTGTTCACTTGTTTAGGTGTGTAGGAGGTAGTCACTACTAATTGCATTCAAAATTTCGTTATTTTTCGAGAGATTGTGAGAAGGAAAGAGATCCATGGCGAGTTTAATTTGGATGGCAATGATTTGGAGTTTGCGGTTAATGAGGAACACCTTAATGTTCAACAATGTTATGTCTTATATTGATGATGTTTTCTTTAATATCAAATTTCTATGTTGGTTTTGGCTAGCTTATTATAACAATTTTAAGGTGAAGTTGAATTATTATGTTTGGTGCGTTTGCGCGTGGGATGTCATAAACATGTAAATTATCTTGGGTTCGAGTACCCTTTTATATTCTTTATTTCAATATTTGATTATATAAAAAAAGACTCCTCTAACTCTTTTGTATTGAAAATTGATGAAGTGTTAATGTTTTAACTTAGATTTTTAATATGAATAAAATTCTACAAAATGTTTTTACAGGGTGATTTGTTACGTTTCACAAGTGACAAGTGATTTAAAAATGCACACACCACTAATTCTAAGTGCAAAAATTTGAAAATAATATCAAAATTATTTCAATTTAAAATAAGGAGATTAATATTTTGAATCAAATAAAATATAGAAGACCAAGGCTATAATTAAGCCACATGTGTATGAGAAATTGTAAAAACAAGTTATTTTCATAAATTTTCTAAAAAAATTTACAAAATCAATTTTTAGTTCTTGTAAAAAATAATTATATATTATTTTATTTTTATTATTAAAATATGTTTTATGATAAATACTTTTATTATAAATTATAAAAGTTTAATTAAACTATTTACTTCAATCAAACTTATATTTCACTTGAAATTTAAGAGGATGAAAAAAAAGGAAAATATGTAATATTAGCTTTAAGTTAGGGTGGCAAATGACCATGCCCACTTCAGAAAAACTCGGGAAAAAATAGGGTGGGAGGAGCGAGCTTAGTTACGGTGTATGTCTAAAATCTTATTCCACTTTGCAAAAAATAAGTGTGGGGAAGAGCAGGACCGCGTGCATTGCACCTTTTAATCACAAGTAAACACTATCCATTTCAATCACAAATGAAAACAAAAATGAAACTGAAACAAGTCTCAAAGAGAGAGAAAATGAAAAAGAAAGTAGAAGAAGGAGGAAGATACAATAAAAAATAACAATCATGGAAAATCAATGGCATAGAAGTATCAAACACACATATCTCAATATCATACAAGGTGAACACTTACATCATGTTAAAAATAATAAAGAGAAATCACAATGTCAAACTATGTCACAAGATCAAAGCACAATGTCAAAACAAAATGCCCAAATACAACCAAATGACTCAAAAATTTCACAAGAGGCAATATTAAACACAAAGCAAAGTAAAACAAGGTCAAATGAGATGAGAAACAAGATGGGGAAGTAGCAACATTACAACATATCCAACCATGCCGCTGGTCAAGGAAGAAACACAAAGAACTAAATCTTGCATTCCATTCACAATCAAAGCACATGCTACACAAAAACAACCATTCACAACATAACCTTAAGGGAGAGACATGAGATTAAGACATTTGATTGAGCGTGGGAAGAAAAAACAACATGTTTATCAATTCAAAGATTCATCCATGAACACAATAGGGAAACCTCAAAACTTGAACTCATATGGTCAGTCCAAGATAGGAGGCACTCAAATAAAAGCATACATAAACAAGCATCAATCCATCATGATTAGAAATAAACTCATATGGTATGTATAATGTTCAAATTACAATCCACAATCTAGGTTAAGAGGAGGCAAAGACAAATTGAAGCACCAAAGTTAAGCAATCACAAACTCAAGTTGTTCATCTGAGAAGTATAAGATCATGTAAGGCAAATGAAACAAAATGGGCATACAATGGACCTCTAATCATGAAAACCAGAACCTAATACATGTTGAGGGAAGCCAAGAAATATCATCAAACACTTATTGAATCAATCAAAATCAAGTTCAAAAGATTTTGGCAAGGCATGCACAAACTCTTAGTAAAAACAAACACATTTTGATGCTTCATCTAAA